CTCCTCCCATCGTACTCGCCCTCTGCTCGGCAGGGCAGTCAAAGTACCTCATCCCAGAGCGTCGCCAAAGCTCTGAACAGGCCCCTTCGAGTAAGCCCCTCCGCTTGCACTGTCCGGCTAAAGGAGTCGCCGAAGGAAAGACAGATCGGATGAGCTTAAATCCCTACGGCCGCGATCCCCGTGCGCGTATGTGAACGCTCTTGCGTGGATTGCATAATGCAGTGTTCGCCATAGCCCCCCGCACATATGTATGAAAAATGCAGCACGGATGGATGGCGGGTAAGTTTCAAATGAGGTTCTCGCCCGAGCGTCGCGCACAGTCGTCCCCCTCCTCGTCCTCCTCCTCCTCCTCCTCCGCCTCCACCTCCGCCTCCGCCTCCGCCTCCGCCTAGGCCTCCGCCTCCGCCTCCGCCTCCGCTTCCTCCTTCTCCTCCTCCTCCTCCTCCTCCTCTTCTTCCTCCTCCTCCGCCGCCGCCGCCTCCGCCGCCGCCTCAGCCTCCGCCTCAGCCTCCGCCTCCGCCTCCGCTTCCGCCTCCGCTTCCTCCGCCTCCGCTTCCTCCGCCTCCGCCTCTGCCCACGCCTCCGCCTCCTTCGCCTCCTCCTTCTCCTCCTCCTCCTCCTCCTCCTCCTCCTCCCTCCTCCGCCTCCTCCTCCACCCTCCTACCTCCATCCCTCCCTCCCCTCCCCCCTCCCAACCTCCCTCCCTCCCTCCCTCCTCCCTCACTAATCCCTCCCTCATCCTTCACCTCCCCCTCCTCCTCCCCCCACTCCCCCTCCGTCCTCTCCTCCTCCACCTCCTCCTCCTCCTCTTCCTCCTCCTCCTCATCCTCCTCCTCCTCATCATCAGCAGCAGCATCATCAACAGCATCATCGTCAGCATCATCGACCTCACCATCGTCATCATCATCAGCATCATCAGCGTGATCCCCATCGTCCGCATCAACACAAGGATCAACATCATCAGCATCATCATCAGCAGCATCATCATCAGCCGCATCAGCATCAGCATCATCCTCATCAGCCTCAGCATCAGCATTAGCATCATCATAATCATCAGCAGCAACATCATCATCATCATCATCATCATCATCATCATCATCATCATCAGCATCATCATCATCAGCATCATCATCATCAGCATCATCATCATCATCATCACCAACAGCATCATCAGCATCATCAGCATCATCAGCATCAGCATCAGCATCACCGGCATAAACAACAACAACAAAAAACAAAACCGCAACGATAACGACAACCACAACCACATCCACAACCACAACAACAACAACAACAACAACAACAACAACAACAACCACGACGACAACGACAACGACAACGACGACGACGATGACGACAGCGACAGCAGCAGCAGCAGCAACGACAACAACAGCATCATGTTCATCATTAGTATGCCTTACTCTGATTGGTCCGCCATCGTGCCCCCTGGCACACTGAGGCATGGAAGAATGCGAAGGGCTGTCTGGTGGGGCGTTTGCAATCCAATGGGGAATCCACCCCCCTCCCCACTAGCACAGACTCTTGCGTGCATTCCCCCTACTCACCGAGGTCATGTTCGCCGTACCCGCTCGATGATGGTGCACTTCCAGCATGGCAGCTACTGCCTAAACCCACCTTCCACGCGTGCCCGCTCGAGGAGGGTGCACTGGCAGCTAGTGCCTGAGCCCCCCTTCCACGCGTGCCCGCTCGATGATGGTGAGCTTCCCGCACGACAGCTAATGCCTGAATCCCCCTTGCACGCGTGCCCGCTCGATGCGCCGTCTAGGCGCGGCTTCTTGCGTACGCGTGCCCGCTCGATGATGGTGCACTAGCCGCACGGCAGCTACTGCATGAACCCTCATTCCATGCGCGCCCGCTCGAGGATTGCGCACTTCCCGCATGGCTGCTACCTCCTACACTCCTCATCCAACGCGCACCCGCTCGAGAATCGTACAATTCCCGCATTCCCAGGCTCTGCTTCCAAGCGCTTCAGGGTCTCTCAAGCCACGATCCTCTGCTAAAAAACAATGGATACGCGTCCCGAGCTTCCAAGACGGCCCGTGTAGGCAACCAAGGAAACCATGATGGCCCAAGATGCCTCGAGGACGGCCCAGGATGGTTCCAAGGCGGCCGAATATTGCTTCAAGGCGGCCCAAGATGCCTCCTCCAAGATGGACCAAGAGGACCACAAGAGAACCTCCAACAGGGTCCAAAGAAGCCAAAATCATTGATGTTAATTGGGTTGTTGAATGGATGTCGCAGCCTAGCCTTTTCGGGCTACCGTCAGCTCAAGACGGCTCAAGAGGAATACACGATGGCACAAGAGGCATCCAAGACAGCACAAGACGGCCCAAGAGGGCCTCCCGTGGGACCCAAGACGACCTTAGAAGGCTCTTCGAAGGCCCCAAGACGGCGCCAAGACGGCCCCACGACGGCTCCCAGACACCCACAGCACGGCCAAGAGGGCCCCAAGACGGCCAAAGAGAACGAAAGCCGGCGAAAGAGGGCCAAAAGACGGCCCCAAGGGACTTCCTAGACTGCCTCACAGAAAGCCAAGACTACCCCAAGCGCGCCCAATCGAGTTTCACCCTCATCATCAGCATCATCACCACCACCAACACCACTGCCGCCGCCATGGTCATCATCATCATCATCATCATCATCATCATCATCATCATCATCATCATCATCATCATCATCATCATCATCATCATCATCAGCATCATCATCATCATCATCATCAGCAGCAGCAGCATCATCAGCATCAGCATCATCATCATCAGCATTAGCATCATCATCATCATCAGCATCATCAGCAGCATCAGCATCATCATCATCAGCATTAGCATCATCATCATCATCATCATCATCATCATCATCATCATCATCATCATCATCATCATCATCATCATCATCATCATCATCATCATCATCATCATCGGGATCAGCAGCATCATCAATATCGTCGTCAGCATCAGCATCAGCAGCATCATCATCATCACCATCAGCATCCTTATCATCATCACCGTCATCAGCAGCATCATCATCATTATCGGCATCATCGTCATCAGCATCATCATCGGCAACAGCATCATCATCATCATCATCATCAGCATCATCACCATCACCATCAGCATCATCATCAGCCTCATCATCATCGTCATCAGCATCATCATCAGCAGCAGCAAAATCCCCATCGAAAGCATCAATATAATCATAAGCATAGCCATCATCATCACCATATTCGTCATCATCATCAGTATCAGCATCATCGTCATCATCAGTATCATCATCAGCAGCAGCAGCATCATCACCAGCATCCTCATCGTCAGCATCACCACAATCATCATCATCATCATCATCATCATCATCATCAGAAGCAGGATCCTCATCAGCAGCAGCATCGATCACCATGCTCATCAGACACGAACTGTTACATGTGACGGCCTCCATTGCCCCCTCGAGCAGTCGCCACCCAGAATGCTGCGCTGGTACGGTGGCGGGAATTCCCGCAGGCAGCTAGATATGATTACCCTTGACCCAACCCAGACCAGGCCCCACCACTTGGCCTGTGAAAGAAGGCCATGCGGGCTACACGTGCACATTCTCCGTGGCAAATGGTACAAACCACACGCGCGCGTGCGCTAAGCGGGCAGTGTCCATACAAATAACGCCATGCCTGCCACACGCGCGCGCTAAACGGGCACCATCTATGTCAAATCATACAGTGCGGGCGTGCAGGCAACGAGGAAACAAATCCTGATCCACGCTTCCAGATGCGCGCGTGCGCTCACCCGCGTGTGCTGCCGTTCGCTTGGACTGGCTATGACACTTCACCGACGCATGCGACGCAACCGCGCATGGGGGAACACAAAGAGAACCATGCGGAAGGAAGGCAAAATGTACGGTAAGGGGCAATGGCCGGGGCATGACCGCTTTCAATGACTAAATATGTAGTCCTTCCGCATTTGAGCAGGGACCGACCGTTCCCCGCATCCCTATAGGCCTACCACGACATGTTCTTAGAACCCAGAAATGTTCTAAGAACAAAAACAATGTTCTTAGAACATTAACCCGATGTGTTGAAACAAGACAGTCCCAGCCAGAAATGTTCTAAGAACATTTCGTTGGAACCACAGAAGGTTCTTAGCACATTATTTGGTAGGCCTCTGGGCGAGCCGGGACGCTTCGCCACTGCTTGACGCATGGCCCGCTCGGGAAGCCCTAACCCAAACAGACGTATGACACACCTTGGGGGGCTCTGGCCGTCACCCCTCCTCCTCCTCCTCCTCCTCCTCCTCCTCCTCCTCCTCCTCCGTAGCCATTTTGGCTCAAGATGCTTTGTTCCACAGGGGAACACGTGGATACCGCTAGTCCGCGGCCAGTGCCAGGGCGTCTCTGCCCGACAGTTTTCAATAAACCTGTGAGCTCCTGGCGGAGCGACTCGACCCACTCCCAGACGGCAGCAGGCACTACGCGAGTGCGATGGGGCCGCCGTCCAAGAAATGGGCTTGGTCAATCTGCAAGAGCTGCAACAACTGGGCGTACGACTGGAAGATCAAGCGCAATGGAGGCTACTGCGCCAAGTGCGACTCGTTCGTCACTCTCTGGGCGGACACAACCTCGGCGTCGCGCAAGCCACCATGGGGAGACCAACCTACCAAGGGCACCTACGCGGAAGTGGTGTGCAGGCAGCTGGCCCACGCCGTCTCCAAGCTTGGGCCCGACCAGAGCATGCAGGAGCAGCTGGAGCACCTGCAGACTACCATCTCCCAGAAGTGCGCCCCGCCCAAGAAGGAGTTACCCAAGTCTGCGGCACTCAAGCAGGCAATCGGCAAGGTCAACTCCGCCAAGGCTAAGCTCGAAGGCGTCACCAAGCGTCACCTGGACGCTGAGAAGGCGCTGGCCAAGCTCGCTGAGCAGGTGGCGCAGGCCGCGGCGGAGGTCTACGAGGCACAGCAGGAGCACTCGAAGGCGCTGGAAGAATACAACATGCACTCGGTGGCGGAGGGCACGGCGGCCAAGCCCGAGCAGTCGGGCTTTCAGGTGGACGAGAGCCTCTTCGCCGATGAGGAGGACCTGGAGCAGACTCAGAAGGACCAGCTTGCGAAGTTCAGGGAGGACGCGAAGTCCTTGCAGGAGTTGTTGGAGCGCGCCAAGACGCAGCAGGAGGCCCTGCTCACCATGGTCGAGAGCGCGAAGAAGATCAAGGCTGATCATGCGGCAAAGAAGCGCAGGATCAACGAAGACGGGCAAGCACACGCGCAAGTTCCACCACCCGCTCAAGACGCCAAGCCTGAGACACCACCACAGCAACAACAAGCCAGCGATCCAGAAGCAGAAAAGCGGAAGGCAGAGGCGATCGCCAAGCTCATCGAGGAGAACAAGGAGCGAGCCAGGGCGGCATCTCAGAGGGCGACCACCACTTCACCATCGGTTGGTACGGCAGCTGCGGGCGGCGCTACGGGCTATTCTTCTGGTCGGGCTGGTATTTAGCCCACCATGGCAGCCGCCTGCAGCGCTGGACAGGCCTCCAGCACCGCCGCCCCCCGAGTGGTCAGCCTTCCCTGGTCTCCCTGGGACATCGCCCCCCAGTCTTGGGGATCGGACCTCCTCGTCCGCGCCAGATGCGGACGCAGCTTGTCAAAACTGGCGTCGCAGCCAGTGTGAGAGAGCTCGCAATCAGACATGTGAGACAGCCAAGCCAGCGAAGGTCACCAGTATATTCTTCAGCAATATCACACAATGGGGCGAGAAACCTCAGAAGTTCCTCAACGAGAGCCAGGAACTTGCTCAGATATTCGCCTTCACGGAGTCCCACGTGCCGCAGCCAGGCATCACGAAGCTGAAGAAAGACCAGAGCAAAGACGGATGGAAAGCATCAGTCACGGCAGCTACCCCGACGCGACGCTCGAAGGAGGGCAACGGCGGAGGCGAGCTGCTCATCGCCAAGGCGCACTTGGCGACCACAACGTTCGACGTGATGAGGGAGACCCTCAAGGCTCGAGGACGACAGGACCCATTCAGAGGGTTCACGGCCATGACTATCCACCTCAGCGGAGGCAATGTCGTTCTCTTCTCCCTCTACCTGCTTCCCAAGGAGGGCATGCAGGGCAGCAACTTTGAAAAGATTAAGGCGCTCTCGACGGTCATAGGGAGCATCACAGATCCTTGGATTATCATGGCAGATTGGAATATGCCCCCGTCCCTGGTCGAGAAGTCAGGCCTCCCCACGCGCCTGGGAGGCAAGGTGATCGTTCCGAAGATCCAGGTCACCTGCGACAAGGGCAAGGGCAGTCTCATAGATTTCGCCATGGCACGAGAAGATATAGCAGACGGCATCACCATCGACGGACACGCGAAAGTACCTTGGAGGACACAAACGGGGCTCCTGCTCAAATTACCAGGGCGCTCGGAGGCTTGGTGGCACAGGCATTTGGATCTCCCCAAGCCGTTGCCTCTGGTGCTCCCACCGAAGAAGGCCCCCGACCCAGAGAGCAAGCGCAGCAAGAAGAAGGAGGCAGCACAACAGAAGAGACTGGCAGAACTCCCCGAGGACTTGCGCGAGGAGTTCAACTGGCTCGAGCCACCACAGACCAACATGGTGCAGCAAACGGTGCAGTACGCGATAGACGAGGGCCAGTGGGAGCAGGCCAGTCGCATCGCCATCGGGCCAGCGTTGACCAAGCAGATGCACGAGTTGGAGGCCAACCTTCTCATCCGAAGTGAGCATCAGAAGCTGATGGAGCAGGCGATCACAGGCGAGTATGCGGTCTGGGTCACCACTCTGGAGGAGGCGATCATCGGAGTAGACACGATGGACGCCGAGCAGGCTGATGCGCACCGAGGCAGAGGAGGTGGTTTTGCAATCAGATGGCAAAGATCGAAAGCCACACCAGGTCGTACGCATATGAAGTATCAAGCAGCAGAGTTGTGGTCGATAATGGGAGTCTTGATTACTAGCCGGCCGCTCTGCGGTTGATCGGGAGTTTCTGTATATAGAAGAAGGTGCGTGCGCTTGTTGGCGAGGGTGAGGATGAGGTTCCTCCTCCTCCTCCTCCTCCTCCTCCTCCATCCTTCTCTTGCCTCCGTCAGTCCTCCTCCTCCTCCTCCTCCTCCTCCATTCCTCTCTTGCACTCCGTCGTCCCCCCTCCTCCACCCCTCAGCTCCATCATTCCTCCTCCTCCTCCTCCTCCGTCCTCCTCCTCCTCTTCATCCCCTCCTGCTCACTCCTCCTCCTACCTCCTCCTCCTCCTTCCTCCTCCTCCTCCGCCTCCTCCTCCTCTCCTCCCTCCTCCTCCTCCTCCTCCTCCTTCCTCTCCTTCCTCCTCCTCCTCCTCCTCCTCCTCATCCTCCTCCTCCTCCTCCCCCTCCTCCTCCTCCTCCTCCTCCTCCTCCTCCTTCCTCCTCCTCCTCCCTCCTCCTCCTCCTCCTCCTCCTTCCCTCCTCATTCCTTCTCTGGGCACCCTCCCCCGGGCGCGGGAATTTTTTCCCCCCCCCAAAACCCCCCCCCCCCCCCATTCTGTCCCGATCTGTCCGAAACGGTGCCGAGCCGCTCTGGCTCTATTGCACCTCCCCCGGGCCGTTTCCTGTGACGTCTCAGCGAGGCGCCGTTTGGGATTCGTGGCGGATCCTCGCGGATCCAGATGGCGCTCCCGAAACGTGCCGAAGCCGCTCTGGCTTCCATGGGCACCTCCCCCGGCCAAGATTTTGGGATTCGTCGGCGGATCCACCGGATCCACCGGATCTGTCCGGAAACGGTGCCGGAGGCCGCTCTGGGCTCCATGGGCACCTCCCCCGGGGCCGGTTTTGTGAGGATGTCTCAAGCGAGGGCGCTGGTTTGGGATTCGTCGGCGGATCCACCGGATCTGTCCGGAAACGGTGCTGGAGGCCGCTCTGGGCTCCTCTGGGCACCTCCCCCAGGGCCGGTTTTGTGAGGATGTCTCAAGCGAGGGCGCCGGTTTGGGATTCGTCACCGGATCCACCGGATCTGTCCGGAAACGGTGCCGGAGGCCGCTCTGGGCTCCTCTGGGCACCTCCCCCGGGGCCGGTTTTGTGAGGATGTCTCAAGCGAGGGCTCCGGTTTGGGATTCGTCACCGGATCCACCGGATCTGTCCGGAAACGGTGCCGGAGGCCGCTCTGGGCTCCTCTGGGCACCTCCCCCGGAGCCGGTTTTGTGAGGATGTCTCAAGCGAGGGCGCCGGTTTGGGATTCGTCACCGGATCCAACGGATCCACCGGATCTGTCCGGAAACGGTGCCGGAGGCCGCTCTGGGCTCCTCTGGGCACCTCCCCCGGGGCCGGTTTTGTGAGGATGTCTCAAGCGAGGGCGCCGGGTTGGGATTCGTCACCGATGCCAGGGCGAGGAGGAGGAAACGTGCCGAGGCCGCTCAGGGCTCACTCTGCACCTCCCACGGGCCGTTTCTTGTGAGATGTAATCAAGCGAGGGCGCCGTTTTGGATTCGTCATCCGATCCACCGGACCGTCCGAAACGTGCAGGAGCCGCCTGGCTCCTCCTGGCACCTCCCCCGGGCCGGTTTTTGTGAGGATGTCTCAAGCGAAAAAAAATAAAAACAAAAAAGAATAAAGGGGGCGCACGGTTTGGGATTCTCAACGATCCACGCGGAAACGGTGCCGAGACCGCTCTGGGCTCCTCTGGGCACCTCCCCCGGGGCCGGTTTTGTGAGGATGTCTCAAGCGAGGGCGCCGGTTTGGGATTCGTCACCGGATCCAGCGGATCCTCCGGATCTGTCCGGAAACGGTGCCGGAGGCCGCTCTGGGCTCCTCTGGGCACCTCCCCCGGGGCCGGTTTTGTGAGGATGTCTCAAGCGAGGGCGCCGGTTTGGGCTTCGTCACCGGATCCAGCGGATCCAGCGGATCCAGCGGATCTGTCCGGAAACGGTGCCGGAGGCCGCTCTGGGCTCCTCTGGGCACCTCCCCCGGGGCCGGTTTTGTGAGGATGTCTCAAGCGAGGGCGCCGGTTTGGGATTCGTCACCGGATCCACCGGATCCAGCGGATCCGTCAGGAAACGGTGCCGGAGGCCGCTCTGGGCTCCTCTGGGCACCTCCCCCGGGGCCGGTTTTGTGAGGATGTCTCAAGCGAGGGCGCCGGTTTGGGATTCGTCACCGGATCCACAGGATCTGTCCGGAAACGGTGCCGGAGGCCGCTCTGGGCTCCTCTGGGCACCTCCCCCGGGGCCGGTTTTGTGAGGATGTCTCAAGCGAGGGCGCCGGTTTGGGATTCGTCACCGGATCAACCGGATCTGTCCGGAAACGGTGCCGGAGGCCGCTCTGGGCTCCTCTGGGCACCTCCCCCGGGGCCGGTTTTGTGAGGTTGTCTCAAGCGAGGGCGCCGGTTTGGGATTCGTCACCGGATCCACCGGATCTGTCCGGAAACGGTGCCGGAGGCCGCTCTGGGCTCCTCTGGGCACCTCCCCCGGGGCCGGTTTTGTGAGGATGTCTCAAGCGAGGGCGCCGGTTTGGGATTCGTCACCCGATCCAGCGGATCCACCGGATCTGTCCGGAAACGGTGCCGGAGGCCGCTCTGGGCTCCTCTGGGCAACTCCCCCGGGGCCGGTTTTGTGAGGATGTCTCAAGCGAGGGCGCCGGTTTGGGATTCGTCACCGGATCCAGCGGATCCACCGGATCTGTCCGGAAACGGTGCCGGAGGCCGCTCTGGGCTCCTCTGGGCACCTCCCCCGGGCCGGTTTTGTGAGGATGTCTCAAGCGAGGGCGCCGGTTTGGGATTCGTCACCGGATCCAGCGGATCCAGCGGATCTGTCCGGAAACGGTGCCGCTCTGGGCTCCTCTGGGCACCTCCCCCGGGGCCGGTTTTGTGAGGATGTCTCAAGCGAGGGCGCCGGTTTGGGATTCGTCACCGGATCCACCGGATCCGTCCGGAAACGGTGCCGGAGGCCGCTCTGGGCTCCTCTGGGCACTCCCCCGGGGCCGGTTTTGTGAGGATGTCTCAAGCGAGGGCGCCGGTTTGGGATTCGTCACCGGATCCACCGGATCTGTCCGGAAACGGTGCCGGAGGCCGCTCTGGGCTCCTCTGGGCACCTCCCCCGGGGCCGGTTTTGTGAGGATGTCTCATGCGAGGGCGCCGGTTTGGGATTCGTCACCGGATCCACCGGATCCAGCGGATCCGTCCGGAAACTGTGCCGGAGGCCGCTCTGGGCTCCTGGCACCTCCCCCGGGGCCGGTTTTGTGAGGATGTCTCAAGCGAGGGCGCCGGTTTGGGATTCGTCACCGGATCCACCGGATCCAGCGGATCCGTCCGGAAACGGTGCCGGAGGCCGCTCTGGGCTCGTGCTCTTCGCGCCGGGGGTGAGGATGACGTGAGTTCCACAGAAACTCCCTCAAACCAGATATGCGTCACTACGGCTCAACGGCACGGACAACATGCAACAGAGGAAGTGCGAGAAGGAGTTGTCCACGACCTACCAGCAGCTCAGAAGGATGGGTTTGGATCAGATCTTTGGGAAAAATTTTGATCATGATGAAGCTGATGAGCGCATGTTACGTGTGCAGGAGGTCAAGACACACACGCTGGAAGAGCTTGAGAGGTTCAAGGATGAGATCGAAAATCACCTGGCAATTGCGGTCTCCAGGGGCATCTCCACACAGCGGCAGCAGTTCACCAAGTGGGCAAAGAAGATGTGGTCGGAGAAGCCAGGCATCCTTCACAAGCACGTCAAAGATCCAGCGCAGCCGACCTACGAGCAGCACCACCAGAACGCAAGCTCGGCGGACCCAGAGATTCTCATGCACACGAAGAGGGAGAGATGGCTAAAGATCTGGACGGACGCAGTGGACACCAGAGAGGACATCGCGTCTGAGCTGCAGGTCATGCACAGACAGGCCAGAGACGAAGACTTGGACCCGATCACAATAGAGGAGTTTGACTCGGCCACGCAGGCCACGAACCCCAACAAAGCAGGCGGTGTGGATGGTCTCAAGTTGCACGACATTAAGAGGGCCCCGCAGGGTGCACGCCAGAAGCTGGTCGACCTCATCAACATGCGCGAACAGACGGGCACTTGGCCGAGGCAGTGGACGGCTACACTCGGGGCCGTGGTCCCCAAACCAGCAGGCGGAGAGAGAGTGCTGGGGATGCTACCCCTACCAGTTAAACTGTGGAGCAGGACGCGGGCGTCACCTTGCAGCGAATGGAGTGAGGCTCTGAGCGCGCACTGGGACACGGCCCTCAAAGGCAGCTCGGCGT